GAACGATGCCCAATTAAATTAGTTATCATTAGAAATAAAGTGTATCTCTATAGGGTAAAAGGTCAGAATAATGTTATATGAATGTTCATTATTCATTCATTTATTGAATACAAATTGTCTGGCAGATTAACTTCAATTTTAGGAAACTAAATAGCTAATTATGCAATAATTTTCCGTTTAATTTGAAGTTGTGGGCAACTGGAATATTATTACTGCATTTTTTATGGAACATTCGAGGGATACAAGTGTTGGCTCATGTTTCAGGCACTATTCAGTTACTCGATATAAATCTCTATATATAAAACTGTTTGTCCTGACTGACTGACTGACTGACTGATTGGTGATCAACGCACAGCCCAAACCGTAAGATCTAGGAAGCTGAAATTTTCACTGTAGTTACCTTATGTTATATAGGTGCACGTTAAGACGGGGTTTCGGGAAATTCCACTCGCAAGTGTGGAAAAATCGCGAAAAACGTTTGTATGTAACTTTTTTGTTTACCATCCGATCGGCCCCAAACTTATTTTCAAAGATCTTTGTTCAAATTTATTTGAGGGGTGTTTCGTACTTTTCGGAAAACCCATTCCTCCTTGGTGGAAATGGAGGTCAAAGATTTGGTGGGTGACGTTTCGCACTCAAATTCATTTACAGAGATCTATTAGAAAAATCATTTGAGACGTGTTTCACACTTTTCTCAGAATTCAAACTTCTTCGGTGGGGAATGCGATTTAAAGATTTTTTGTGCGAAGTTTTAAGTTGTGTCCGATTTGCTTCAAACTTATTTTCAAAGCTCTACATAAGAACTTAATAAATACGTATTTTAGCGATTTGGGAAATTCCACCCGCAACAGTGATAAATTGGCGGAAAACGGTTGTATGAAAGATTTTTGTTTACCATCCGATCGGCCCCAAACTTATTTTCAAAAAACACACTTTTCGAAAAATACGTTCCTCCTTGGTGGAAATGAAGGTCAAAGATTTGGTGGGTGACGTTTCGCGCTCAAATTCATTTCCAGAGATCTATAAGAAAAATCATTTGAGACGTGTTTCACACTTTTCGCAGAATCCAAACTTTTTCGGGTGGAATGCGACTCAAAGATTTTTTGTGCGAAGTTTTAAATTGTGTCCGATTTGCTTCAAACCACTTTTCAAAGCTCTACATAAGAATGTAATGAATACGTGTTTCAGCGATTTGGGAAATTCCACTCGCAACAGTAGTCAATTGGCGGAAAACGTTTGTATGAAAGTTATTTGTTTACCGTCCGATCAGTTTCAAAATCATTTCAAATTTTTTTGAGAATTTTGATTTTATAACATACGTGCCACAGGCAAGGCCGGGTTATACCCGCTAGTATAATATAAAATGATTTAATTCATATTACAAGTATATAACTAAACTAAAAAAAAGTTCCTTTTTTCTTTTTTATTTTTCTCAGTGTTGTCTACAATTGAGCATGGTATAACCACAACAGCATTCACCTGGTGCCCACAATGCGTAAAATTGGCAGATGAGAACAACTGCATATAAAATGCCTTCTGATTATATAGCTGCTGAATTTTTAGCTTCTGTTACCGCACCTGCTTCTGCTCCTAGTCCTGTTACTGCTACTACTACCGCTGCCGAATGATGGCAATTGTGCCATTGTCCATGCTGTATGCATCTGCCAATTAGAAGCTGGGAGTTCGTACGAGACGGCAGTTAGAGGAATGAGTGAAACTCGATTTCCACTGACAGCAACATGTCGGAGCCGGCTCGTTGTCATGGCAGCCAGAGCCAAACAGTGGCTCCTGATGATGTTTCTTCTATCTGCTCCTGGGTACCTGCTGTAGCTGGAGTTGATAGGGCTTAGAAGTGCGTTATAAGCGGGTTATGGCATTTTCATTTCGAACGAGCATTGAAAATAGCAGGATGCGAGTCAAAGGAGCAGCCAAGCAACACGGGCGCACTGCCACTTGAAGATTTATGACTCTGTTGCGAGTATGCATACCTCCCGTTTGCCCCACTCAGAAAACCCAAAACTGAATAGTTATCATTCTGATTTATTGTAATGATGGGCCACATCTATGCTTTGGGTCGTGTTTATTTGGCAGCCACTTAACAACATTTTCTAAAGGCAATTAACTGGTTGCATTGTCGTAAGATATTCAACGATTTATCAATAGAGCTTGGACTACAGCATTAGCTCTAGATACAAAATTGTTTGATCTGCCTCAAACTCAGTTTGCAGATATATCTGAAACTCATATTAAGTAAGTATTAGCTTTTGAGTCGGTCGCAGCCGAATGTGCAGTACTCTGTTCGCTGTGAAATAATAAAAGATGATAGCTTTCAAAATTACCAATTAACCTATTAAATTAGTTGTTACTTTTAATTAAGTTTACAACATTATTTAAGATAAACAGTTTAAATTGTGCAATCGATTGATGACTTATGATTTGTACATAAATAACGTGTATGGATATATAGAAGGCAGCTGGAAAGGTTGGAACAGCAGCTTCTCAGTGGCTTTAAACTACGAAGAATTATAAAATTTGTTAAAGAGCTCCCAAGTCACTTGATATACATTTGCGCCTATGATAGGCATCTTTAACACCTACTACAAAATACTAATTCAATTTAATTTCGTTCTAGATTTAAGTATTTGTTTATTTGTTATAGGTATAAATGAAATTCACTCGCCATTTAAATTGAAATTCCAGAGATAATTTTAATGTATTCACCTTTGCTTTGTTGATTTAGAACCGTGCATAGCCTCAAGTCAATTTCTATTCCCACATGACGCTCTCGAAAGTCAGCCGAAGTTGTGCTTCTTGGCCCTTTTTTGACATTCAATTAATATGCAAATTAAGCCCGACAACAGAACTGGCTGGGCAAAACATACCACATGCGATAAGCCAAATTTAGCCCGGCTTCTTATTCGTTTAACCCCCTCACACTTTGGCATCGCAGCGAAGAATAAACAAAGTGCATAGAATGCTGCATAAAATTGTGGACGGAGGAAGGGGCATGGTGTATGTGGCAGGAATGGATATGATGCGAAAGGATAGGATAGGATAGGAATTAGAAAAGCAGCTTAGTGATTCCGCCAACGTTTGCAGATTTGGTGCATAGTTTCAATTGCTTGCCACAGGCGGTGTTTATTGTTGTACTGGCTGGTATCCTGGCATCTGCTCTGGTGTGGTCGGAGTACCCCTCAGGAATGCCCCACGGAATTTACGAGGCCCTCGAGATTAGTTTGCGCTGTTGTTTGCTTTAATTGCAAGTAGAGGGCGTGGCCGTGTCGCCAAGTCAGCGGATTGCAGAGTCTGCTCACCGAACGTATCAGACACACAAACGAAATAGGACCCAAAGAAAACCAACTTTCTACATTCCACATACGCCGCGTAAGCCGCATGCCGGCATAGACAATTTACACTCTCGGCCAAAAGGATTCGTATTGGCAATTCGTGGCGCTGTTTTCTGAATACTCGTATTGCAGCGCCAAGCCAAAATAAATACTCTTATCGAGTCGCAAGGCTTTCGCAAATGTCTCACTTGCATAAATTCAGCTCGAGAATTGAGGCTTGTGTGAAAAGAGGGGCAAAGAGAACGTGGGCAGGGAGGGGATCCTGTGGGTCATTTGGTGTATTTGTTTCCATTTTATATCTTATTTATTTCAATTTTTCCCATTCACTTGCGACGTGTGTCGATGTAGCACATTTTATTGCAACGTTTTTTCTTTTTATTTTTTTTTTATCCTCTGGGATGCAATTTTAAAATATTGCACACACACAACTCGTATCATCTGTCCAACAGAGCTGAGCAAGGCTGAGATCCATTTATATTTTATGTGCTACGTTTTTGTCCTCATCGACATCGCTATTGACTTGAGTGATTGTAATAAATTATTGCCAACTTTATCTGGGCCAATGGATCAACGGCTCTGGATTTTTCTTTAAGGCGGTTTAAATCGAAAAATGATTCTGCGAGTGCTCCAAATTCAAATATTTAAGTGAATACGGAATGTATGGCTTAAGTCTGATATATAAATAAAATATTTGAAGGAATGATTAAATACAGAGGTGCAGAAGGTATCAATATCAACAAGCGAGTTGACATAGGAATGCCCGATAGCCCGTCAGTTGGGTTCATTGCAAATGAAAAATTCAAATAAAACAGTTTAAACCATTTTACTGTTGCCGGCACGACTACATAAATATCGTTTATGTTTTTTTTTTTTGCATTTTTTTTGCAAATAAATGATTTAATATTGCAATACATATCTCAGAATAAATTAAAACTTAAAAGAAATTCAGTAAGTTCATATTGAGCATATCATAGATCTGAACTCAGTTTAAGTAGATAATTTCTTAGCTTAATAGAAATCAATATTTACATTCAATTTTCAGAAAGGGACATATTATTATTTGTTCTAAATTATAACCTCTTGTAATCTCCAATATACGCAGAATGTATTAGTCACAATTATAGTCAAGAAGTCAACATTTACGAATTATAGATAATATTAACATTCGTTGCAAACTTTAATCAGGTTTCAAAGATATATTTGTGCCTAACTAAATTATACAATTTTTGCCAATTTCCAATGGGGTAGTAATATGAGATAGAATATGTCCCCTTTAGTTCAGCACACATTTTGAGTCAATATCATTGTCTTTAATTAAAACGATTTATTATATAAATTCCACAAATCAAAAGTCAATCCCAGTTATGCTATTAATAACAAAGATTGGATAATTAATATAATGGTACTTTTTACATGATTGCTGTGATTTTAAGAAGATTTTATATATGAAGATAAGGTGCAAACACTATTTATTACCAAAATTTAAAATTTAATTTTTTTTTTTATTTAGCTGGCGATTTATCGATAAGCTCAGTGCTTTTGATATAATTTATCGAATTCAATGCTAACAGAATTCGGCATTATCAAGTGTGCGTGGCATTTAGGGACTGCTGGCAGTTGTACTTAGTAAGCAAAACTCGAGCGACATCACATCAAATTTGGTCTTCGAACTGATTAGATCGCAAAAAAAAAACAAAAATTAAATTGAAAAGGAACACTAATATTTTGGAAAGAATTCTACGTAATGCTGCACCGGGTTAATTTTTATGATGGCAATAACATGCGCGGGCGGCCACAGCACTTTGGACAGGTAAGCTTTAAAAGGGGAATATACTTTTCGATTCGTTGAACGTAAGATACCCGAAATCCCAAATGTAGAGAGAACTATTTGGCAACCCGCACAATGGTTTCGGTGTTCAATCTGGCAATGGAGTCAACGTGCAGCTCAACGAGAGACGCGACTGGCTATTCCATTTGGGCTTGAGCCCCAGCTGTGCCCATGATCTAGCGGTGCATACACTCGAGCAGCCAGAGTTCAACCTAACCCACTTTCAGCAGCATTGGAAACGCCTTAGCCTGCAGCTGGGCCTCGGACGACAGGCCGAGGTGGATGCCATAGTTTTACGTAAAATCCGAGAGCTTCTGCATCGTCAAATGGCCCCATCGAGTTATCCCAGAACACCGTCACCACCACGCGGCATCAACTGGAACTCAAGTCGTGGAAATTCGCCAGATTGTGATCCTATTCCCTTGGCATATCTCGCTGATAACAGGAATGACCACTACCCGGAACGCAGATTGACTTCCACGCCTGTGGGAGAAATGGGCTTTCGACCACCTGACTTGCATCGAAGAGAACCAGATGTATACAATATAGATGCAGATCCACGAAATCTGGAGGATAACTTTCATGGAGAGCAGGCAAATCATTTTACCCCATACAACAACAATAACAATAATTATCGGAACCTTAACTACCCCACCGATAAAGTCTATAATATAGATTCAGATCCCCGCAACATTGAAGATGATTTTGCCCCACCACACACTAACAATTTTGTAGGTTGCCCCGTTCAACATATAAAAAGTTCTGAAAACAATGCGTTCTTCAAACACAATTACCATCGTCGGTTACCTGCTTTATCCAGCGATAAATTTCATTTTAACAGAGAACAGCTTCCATTCAGAAATTTAAATAATGTACAATTCCAAAATGCATTGGAGCCCACGTTTAGGCGACTTAGTGGCAGAAATGATGCTGGGAACAATAAAAATTTGAATTCAAATCAGTTGCCAAACATTTACCGAGACAGGGGACCCCATAGAACCGAAAATACCGCGTTTTCAAACGCCAGAAACGGGCACTGTAAAGGCAGAGGATGTAAACGCGCTGCTGAGCCAAGCAATGGGGAACTTGACCAAAATAAACGCAAGAGGCGCATTATAGAGCAAGTGGATCAATTATTTAAAATAGGCGACTTTGAAATGCCCTATCTTCAAAGCAACTGGAAGCCGCTACCGCAGCCGGAGAGCAAATCATATGCAATTAAGTTCTTTCGACGTAAGCACTGCAGTATTGTTGGTGGAAAGGAGGCGGTGCCTCCACAGGCACCAGCTCGGAATACCCCGATACTATCTTTAAACTATAGTCGCGCTGCAGCCAAGCGATTTCGTCAGGCCCTCCGCGATGAGTGGACGGATATATACAGGAACATGAACTACAGAAGCTGGGATATTTGGTGGAAAGACTTCAAGTGGTGTGAGGCGGGCATCGATAAAGAGCTCGAGCGCTTTAAAGGCATTAATTTAAGATACTCATTTCTGCATGTTAAAATGAGCTATGACAGGCCGGAGGCAATTAAGACACTCCTGCACTCGGCTCATTTGGCGTTGGAGTTGAACAAGACGAATTTTCAATCGATAATGGGCACCATTTTTGAATTGACAAACGAGTCCTTCTTGGAGAAATTAGACTCGGAACATATGTGCCAACTGCAGGATATCATACGTTACATACCGAATCACTTGTGGGTCTACAAGATGCGCAGCATGGTTTATTTGTGGTCTCGTTACAGTCGTATTCGAACATCGGCCAATCCTTCAAACAGGGAACTCTGGGCCACGCAGACACAATGGAACAGTGCCCTGTTTCACTGGCTAGCTAAACAGGCCTACGTAGAGCTCAAGACTGTCAGTGAAGTCGAGTGGACTGAGCACAGTAAAATGTATCCATTGCTATAGTAAACTTTATTTGTATTTGGGAATATGTATTTATGGACTCGCACTAACAATTTTATGCTAACCACGACATAAAACAATTGTAATAATAATACAAATAAAGTGTTACACAAAATATTTGTTCTTTCGGAGCATGAACACGTTGACAAGTTGGTATCATGCTCAAGATAAATATATATTTAGAAACAAGGATTGAAACCCATAAGGATTATGATATACGGGCTTTCAAATTTATGAGGAAAGCAATGGATATTCTAAATGCCAAGTTTGGCTAATATTTTTTTACCAAATTTGGTTAGAACTGAACAGACAGACATGGCTAGTCGTACCTTCTATTCGCTACTCATTTAATGGCAAAATTATAATACCCTCTACAAACGTAAATTTAAGTTTAAATAAACTTGATCGGCGTGGGCAATGGGAAGTTTTATTTTTCAATTCATTATCGTAACAAAATTATAATACATTTCGCCCATTTTGGCTTTTGTTGCGTGGTTATGATATGTGTATCTTGGTAAACGTTTGTCTTGAAAGCTCGGTACTCTGTCTTTTGAATCCAGCTGGGCTTTGGTAATATAACGCGAATTCAGATCTGGAATTAATTAAACTTGTGGACTCCGGTGGAGAGCCTCACCATTTTAACTAATTCTGTTTGCATCCCCACTCGTTCATTGCTGCTACCATGCTGCCATCTATTTTTGTAAGGCAAACAAAAACTCAAAGCATTTTTCGACGGCTGCATGAAGTTGTTTAATTTGTTATCGCAAAGTGCACCTGAGCTCGCGACTGAGAGCCGAGCCAGAGGATGTAGGAAGCCAAGAGCGAAAGCCCAAAGGCAAATGAATAAGCCAAAAGAAAAAAATAAAATAAAATGGAGACAAAAAATTGCAAAACGTTGTTGCATATTAATCCGACAGAGTATTTCACTCAGCGGGTGTCTCAGCCGCAGAACAGGCAGCCAGGCAGCCACGCAGCCGAGCGAGTCCTGGCCCAGAACACGCCATGCGCACAGACCACGAAAGACATTTATTGTATCCTTAGCGCGCCTGACAGACGCGTGCTTAGACGATGATGAATTTGTCAACAGCGTCGCGCGAACCAAGTAAAAACTCTGGCAAAATATTCGCCAGTGTCGAGGCGTTAGGAGGGGGACTCTGCAAACTGCTGGGAATTGGGCAACCAGCCAGGCAAACATCAAGTGACGAAAAAATGCAAATAAAATGCCAGCTTATTGAGTATGCTATGAGGTCGAGTCGAGGGCAGTTGATGAAGGACACGGGTAGCTGCTCTTTATTTGATTGAAAAAGGTGATGTCAAGGTTTCGTATACCCAACATATAAAATGTTTATGGTACATACATTTCATATATCAGACTAAGGCCAATCCACTAAGCCGTTTCACATATTTATACTTCTTTGCTTTGTTGTAACGGTTTGGGGGTTTTATATAATTGTTTATATAAAGCTTGATTATCGGCAGCGTTTATGTCCTTAAGATGTGAGTTAAAATAGCCATCTGATTAAGTAACTCTGCAATTGACCCAGTGTATCTCATAATGTGGGTCATCGTGTGCGCTTTTGTTTATAAAACTATCTCTAGTCAAGAATATACTTTAATATTTAGGGAAAAATAACAACAACAATCAGTTATATTTTTAATATTTCTTTTCAGGGTTCGGAGTTGGCATTCAATACATGCAAGAAAATTCAAGGCTATTTCGCTTTAAGTGCATCTGTATTTTATAGAGATATTAGTAGTGAAGATATTCAAAAAGTGGCCTTTCCATGGGAACATAAATTCTATATTAAGCTTCTCTGTTGAGATAAAACAAGTATAAGAGCTGGGAGTGTTCGAAGTTCCGGACTAGGAGGTACCCCGAACCCGTGCCAAGGTGCCATCAAATCATTGGAGCTTTTGGTTAAAAATTAGATTTAGCTCATATATTTAAAGTAGCCATGCTCTAGCTTTTATTGTTTCCTGCGACCGATGCGTTCATACAGAGGAACCGACACTGTTTGATGGACGCAGTTTGCATGAATATAAACTTATGAGGTCGGAGATGCTGCCTGCTGCTTTCTGCCTGATACATACCAAAATCGTTATACTCTTCTCACGCAAAGATGTGGCAATGTAAAGGTTTCGTGTGCAGATAAAAAAAAAAAACATTATTTCGCAGTCCCACACACATGGCAGAATACTTGTGTTGTTTATTGACGGGCATTTATCAGGCCTTTTGGGGTGTCTTTGCATAAAGCCAGTGCTATAATATTTAATTTAAAATGTTATCTCCGGGCATTTGGATCAAAATCAACTTAGGGCTGGAAAAGTCAAAGAATATTTGTGTGCTGAATATGTCTGTAAGGAGTACTTACATATATCTCAGTATCTGTAGCTATAACAACTTAAATTTCATTGATGTGGCGTTTGATTAGATTTTTGTATCAAATTTGTTCTATTGCACATTAACCTGACTGGGCATATAAATTCGCCTGTCCGAGCCCCAAGCTCACACATGTTCAAATTAATTAAAATTCAATTCAAGTCCTACACGAGCGTGCTACTCCCACGCGTTCAATCATAATTTTAATTTACACGAAATTAAATTCCGAGTATTCCCCTTGCCACCCGAACCCCTTTCAATCCAACTGCCAGTTCCACAGCACACACACGTGCACACACACACACACACACACACACGTACAACAAATGAAAACAAATGTATTCGTAATTGGTAATGCGCTCGCACTCGAATATTTTGCTAATAATTGCAAATTGCAAATCTGATTAACATTAACAGCTCGCACTGCTTTGCATTTGCCAGCGTTCGGACAGTTTTGGTTACTAATTTGAAATGCAGCTGCAATTGATTTGCAAGTGTTTTATTTGGTACCAGCTGTGTGGGCTTTGGTCCTGGTATCCTGGCATTTCATTAACACCTTGCCGCAGGCTTAACATTCATAATATATTTGCAGACGTATACAATTATTTATTGCATATTATTATTGACGAAAACTGAATTAAATATTGAATATTTGAAAATGAAAAGGTAACAAATAATTATATTTACATAACTCGCTTGAAACATGACAAACTCACAAAGTATATATATTATTGGTCAGGTCGACGAACTGAGTCGATTTAAAACCTTTTATCCCTGATCACTTTAAACGTAAGTCCTTCGATAATCCTAATCGTCCCATTTTGAAGCAATCTGTGAAAATCGATATTGAAATCCTGTGTTTGCGTAAGTCTCTCAGGTGCATCTAACTTTGGTAGAAGAAGGTTTTGGGTATCTCCTAGTCTGGCACTCCCGGCTAGATAACTATTACTTGCTATCCAGTAAACACATTTGCATGTTCTCATTCAATACACGTTTCGGATTTGTATGTGCATGAAGTATGTAAAGGAGCAAAGAAAATTCAATTAAAATGCAATTAATCACAGGATCATAAGTTCAAAATAATAATGAATCCATTATTAATTTAATAACAGCACTAGATGTTGAATAATTTGAGACAAAAATGAGCTTAAATTATGAAAATAAAGCAAATATTAAATTATCGGAGCTCATTCAAAATATCGCATTAAAAACGTTTTATACCAAAATTAAAATTGAAGATGGCTTTTATTACAAGCTAATTATTATTACAAGCTATTAAATGAATTATTTTGAGTTTAATGAATAGGACTTCAATACCATTTACGGGAATGGCGTAGCTAAGCAGCCGGTTCCAATATATTAAGATAGACAACTGTGAGTAAATCAGGATACAGGAGGAAAAACAGGTGGTCGTGATTTATGATGGCCTCTTAATTAAACATCAAACTGGCGGAACATGCGGGCTCTATCATTTCGACGGAGATACAGCGTAGATCTAGCATTTACATTTTTATACCCTTAAAGAGCGTACTATAATAATACCATGTGTAACTCATAGAAGGAGACATCTCCGACCCCATAAAGCTGCCATCGTAGCTGCCACTGGAATGATCGGTCGAAAGTAAAGTGTTTGTATGAAAACCTTTTTTTGGCTGTCCAGATATATTGATCAAACCCTCCAATCGTTAGTTCAAGGGTATTTAATCTTATGCGTGCCGAAGATAATTTTTTTGGGACAAAATCCAATATGAACACTTAATTTTAAGGTTACTATAAGTTATACTACAATGTTATGCACACGAAACACTTAATTTTATTATCCCTGAATCTAATACAAATTGATAAAAAGGGTATAATGTAAGAAGCATCTCTGACCCCCTAAATAATATATATCATTGTTATATTATTCTTGATCAGGACAGCGAGCTAAGTCGATTTCCCCACCGTCGATCTCAAAAACTACAATATCTACAAAATTTTAGGTATACATACCCTACATACCATTCGAAACACATAGAAGAATTGAAATAACAAATGGTTTATTAAAACTTGGTATGTAGGTTTTTGTATATGTTTGTATAGAAGCCTTAATGTTTGAAAAGGAAACTTGGCGCAGGGTTCAGGGTTTCTCCTAGTCTTGTACTTTCGACTTGTGAAATAGAGGGTATTGAAATAAGGGTTATATTTGCGATAAAACTAAAACGGAATTTAAAGGAATTTTTATTATTTTACAATGTGTCAGCCAGAACACCAATATTTGTAAATAGTTTACGCATCGTGGTGTGAACACCCAGGTGCTCAGATTTGCAAAATCCTAGCCAAGGGTCACGACCAGTGATTGCCGAGCCACAAATCCCTTTGCACCCTTAAATAAATCTCTTGCGTGTACATCAATGGACAAAATGCAATATGCAAAATGCAATATTTATTCAAAATATTTGTAAAACAAATTAAGTCGTAGCCACGGCCGTGTCATTGCAAGAGGAAAGCAATTTTTGCGTTAGTTGACAGTTTTCGATTTTTCGACAATTTTCCATATGGCTCACTTGAATGTCACGGCAAATTGTCTTTGTGAGTTTTAAACTGAACGTTGATTTAATTTTAAAACGAATTTTCAACTAAAATTTTTCGACAGGTCTTCACCTTGTTGACCCGTGTCCAAAGTTTTCCCAGCGCCCGATGCCCCTGCCCCAAAGTGTTGCGGCAACGCGCCAGCCTCTTCAAGTTGCATGTGCTGCATGTGAGACAGCAGGATTCTACTTGGCTATCTTTGTCTCGCCTCTGGCTGCCTGTCTGTCAGTCTGTCAGTCTTTTAGCCTGTCTGAGTAATTTCATTATGAGTTTTATGACTTTTAATTAATTTTCAAAAGTGCACAATTTTACAACAGACTGCAAGGAGTTGGCTCTCTGTTTGTCGGCCGGCCGGCTGCTTGCCCGGAAGAGTGTCATAATTTCCGCACAAAACTTGATGTTGGCGAATTCGTCTGCAATTCGAACGGAAAGTACCACGCCGTGTCCCTCCAACTCGGGATGGCTGTGTAATTAACGAGTGTTAACAATATTCAATTAATTTTTCGTACTTTAGGGCCACACACTAAAGTCAACTTTTCAGTTTCAGTTTAGTCAGATCCGGCCTTACAAACAATTAAATAACCTGCTCTCGATATCTCCATACAAAAACTTACTTTTCATCCTGTAATAATAAAACTGATCTCATATATGAGGAACATGGTAGGGCTCATAAGTGCAAAAAATTATAAGAATTACTAGAAATTTATAATTATAATACCCTCTGCTAGTATATAAAATAAGGAAAAACTGATAAAAATTGCTGGCGATGGGAAAGTAACTTCCACTTATACAATCTCAGCAACAGTAATCTCAGAAAAATTAAACTTTCCTACAGCAGAGTTAGTTCAACGGCAAATAATACCCCACCGCCTCGATGAGTTGGTCGATCAAGTCAAGCAATAAAATTATTCGAAAACACTTCACACACAAATACAGAGGAAGTGAGAAAGAAAAGAAACTTGAAGGGTGACAGGCAAAGGTTGGTTTCTTTTTATGTGGAGTGCAAAATTTAGGATCACATATGATTGAGAAGGTATCATGAGAAACAATAATCGTGAAAGATTATATGTTAAGTGTGGAGAAAGTAAATTTATAAATATGTTCGTTATTTTGCTTTCTTGCAATATAACAAAGGTTTGCTTGCGGGGAAACAAAAGTCAGATTAGTAGCTGATGAAGCTATAGGTTATAAGGATGCAAGCTGGTTGCTGCTTGCAATCAAAGCTGCACTTTCGTTGATCGGGGAAAGTTTCAGATAGGGTCTATAGGCATCATTCCAGGGAATATATATGTATAATCTGACTCGTCTAAACTTCTTTCGGATATGATAGGGAAACCCTAGTTGTGAGGTCATCGATTTGTTTGGACCTCAATGCGATCATATGCGATCGCCAGTTTCAAACTTATTTTGCCATTGTAAATGCTCGAGGTTTTCACCACGGATAACACGAATGCCACTTACTCTTTCTTAGCTCACATCATCTTTGACTTTCCCGAATCGAGTAAGCCGTTGTAAATCAGGATTTCTCAACTGTCAGTATTTAAGGCATTATAAATTTTTCAGTCGTAAACCAAACACATTAAAAATACGATTGATTGTTCCTGTTTCTCTGTAGCACAAATCAAAGAACAGCTTAAAGATGTCCGCAGAAGTCGAGGAGATGCTGAAACGCTTCCAAGGTATAAAGAATATTGTGGGGATCATTGTTGTCGATAACGATGGCATAGCCATCAAGTCAACGCTGGATAACCAAATGTCAGTTCATTATGCTGGACATATGCAAACGCTAACAGAAAAAGCCCGTCAGGTGATTTTAGATCTGGATGCAACAAACGAGTTTACATCTATGCGCATGCGCACTAGCTATTATGAGATAATGCTCATGCCCCATGATAACTTTTTTATTGTCGTTATTCAGAACCCTTGCGATTAAACGGGCTGTGTAGTGATAAATTTGAAATCTTGATTATGTTCTGCAAATTATGTTATTAAAGTCATCAAAATTTAATTTTTTGTTAATTTTCTAAAAGAGTTATTTATGGTGATTACATTTCATTAGAGGCAATTCTTATTTTTTGAGATAGGGCGACATAATAAATGTCTAATTTTTTTTTAACATCAAAAATGAAAAAATTTTGGATTAATATATTTTTTAATGTATCCGTACTGAATGTCAACAGCGATTTTCCCACTTTAATTGACTAAACGATTGACTGATTGACTTAATGAATGACCGCCTAACTGACTGATTGGTGATCAACGAACAGCAAAAACCGTCAGAGCTTGGCAGCTGAAGTTTTCACTGTAGTTACCTTATTTGATGGATGTGACCGCTAAGACTGAATTTGGGAAATTTCCATCGTCAAGCAGGAAAAAATTGCGAAAAACTGCTTTGATTTTCGAACCGACCCCGATTTTGAAAAAAAACGTGATGTAACCCCTTGCCATTTTGTTGACTTGGGTCAAAATTTAGATTTTTATTTTTTTGATGCCAATCGATACTACTGATCCTTACGAGTCCAATATGGTATAAAATTCCCAAATCGGACTTTATTTGGCCGAGATATTACAAAAAATCATCAAAAAAGTTTGACTTTACAAACAAAAGGGTTTTTGGTCAACCACTTTTTTTGACCCATCGATTTTTAAAACATTTGAATGCAAATTGATAGTAGGGATCCCTATGAATTCAAAAAGGTATAACATTTCAAAATCAGACAGTATTTACCAGAGATATTCAATAAAAATCATTCAAAAAGGATTGATTTTTGAGGCGACACCGAATTTGAGAAAAAACGTTATGTAACCCCTTGCCATTTTGTTGATTTTGGTCAGAATTTAGATTTTTATTTTTTTGATGCCAATCGATAGTACTGATCCTTACGAGTCCAATATGGTATAAAATTCCCAAATCGGACTTTATTTGGCCGAAATATTACAAAAAATATTCATAAAAGGTTGACTTTACAAACGAATCGCTTTTTGGTCAACCACTTTTTTTGACCCATCGATTTTTAAAATATTTGAATGCAAATTGATAGTAAGGATCCCTATGAAGTCAAAAAGGTATAACATTTCAAAATCAGACAGTATTTACCCGAGATATTCAATAAGAATCATTCAAAAAGGATTGATTTTCGAGCCGACCCCGAATTTGAGAAAAAACGTGATGTAACCCCTTGCCATTTTGTTGATTTGGGTCAAAATATAGATTTTTATTTTTTTGATGCCAACCGATAGTACTGATCCTTACGAGTCCAATATGGTATAAAATTCCCAAATCGGACTTTATTTGGCCGAGATATTACAAAAAATTATCAAAAAAGGTTGACTTTACAAACGAATCGCTTTTTGGTCAACCACTTTTTTTTACCCGTAGATTTTTAAAACATTTGAATGCAAATTGATAGTAGGGATCCCTATGAATTCAAAAAGGTATAACCATTTCAAAATCAGACAGTATTTACCAGAGATATTCAATAAAAATCATTCAAAAAGGATTGATTTTTGAGGCGACACCGAATTTGAGAAAAATCGTTATGTAACCCCTTGCCATTTTGTTGATTTTGGTCAGAATTTAGATTTTTATTTTTTTGATGCCAATCGATAGTACTGATCCTTACGAGTCCAATATGGTATAAAATTCCCAAATCGGACTTTATTTGGCCGAAATATTACAAAAAATATTCAAAAAAGGTTGACTTTACAAACGAATCGCTTTTTGGTCAACCACTTTTTTTGACCCATCGATTTTTAAAATATTTGAATGCAAATTGATAGTAAGGATCCCTATGAAGTCAAAAAGGTATAACATTTCAAAATCAGACAGTATTTACCCGAGATATTCAATAAAAATCATTCAAAAAGGATTGATTTTCGAGCCGACCCCGAATTTGAGAAAAAACGTTAGGTAACCCCTTGCCATTTTGTTGATTTTGGTCAGAATTTAGATTTTTATTTTTTTGATGCCAATCGATAGTACTGATCCTTACGAGTCCAATATGGTATAAAATTCCCAAATCGGACTTTATTTGGCCGAAATATTACAAAAAATATTCATAAAAGGTTGACTTTACAAACGAATCGGATTTTGGTCAACCACTTTTTTTGACTCATCGATTTTTAAAATATTTGAATGCAGATTAATAGTAGGGATCCCTTCGAATTCAAAAAGGTATAACAATTCAAAATCAGACAGTATTTACCCAAGATATTCAATAAAAATCATTCAAAAAGGTTTAATTTTCGAGCCGACCCCGAATTTGAGAATAAACGTGATGTAACCCCTTGCCATTTTGTTGATTTTGGTCAAAATTTCGATTTTTATTTTTTTGATGCCAATCGATAGTACTGATCCTTACGAGTCCAATATGGTATAAAATTCCCAAATCGGACTTTATTTGGCCGAGATATTACAAAAAATTATCAAAAAAGGTTGACTTTACAAACGAATAGGTTTTTAGTCAACCACTTTTTTTAACCCATCGATTTTTAAAATATTAAAATGCAGAGTGATAGTAGGGATCCCTTCGAATTCAAAAAGGTAAAACATTTTAAAATCAGACAGTATTTACCCGAGATATTGAATAAAAATCATCAACAAAGTTTTGATTTTCGAGCCGACCCCGAATTTGAGAAAAAACATTTGCCATTTGGCTGATTTGGGTCAAAATTTAGATTTTCATTTTGCATCCCATCGATTTTTTATTAGTTATAATTCCAATTGATAGTAGGGATACGTACGAATTCAAACAAAAAATATCTAATGATTTCGAATAGAGCTGTTCCCCAAAATAGATATTTTATTTTTTTTAGTTATTTTTCTAATCTAGAGCTTGCGTAGTTTTCAAAATCAGCGTAACAAACAGACGGACGTGGCTGGATCAAGTTAGCTCTTCGACGTGGTCAAGAATATATGCACTTAATGGTGTTAGAGGTGCTTTCCTCTTCCAGTAAAATTAATTTACACAAAAGCAAATCCTTGTTAATCTATTTTTATTGGGTACAAGTAATAAAACCTATTGTACTCAGTTTGTTTTTTCAAGCAACCTTTGTAGCATCAGCAGCAAGTAATGTTTTCGAATTTGTACTGTCATTCGGTTCTTTTACTTGTCAACATGTCAAAATTATTTGTATATTTGTTCTTCCCAATCACATAATTGGATTACAGTTTATCTGTGCAGTTGCTAGCAACTGGTCAGAAAATGCGTGTCCATATAAGCTCACACTTTAATACCCACACTCTCAGTGCCGTCATCAGTCATCAATCGGTCAATCAACCAACCAAACAGTTTTCAATCAATCAACCATCATTCAGTAAGAAACAACATGGCCAATAAGGACTTACCAGCTCAGCTCAGAAAAATGCGACGAATATTCCAGCAGTTCGACCGACGTGGAGATGGCAAAATTGGACTTTCGCAATTGGGCGACTGCCTACGCATTCTGGGTGCCAATCCCAGTGAGAAGAGCATACGTCAGCACACCCGACAATTGCGTGATAGCCAAATCGAACGCATTTCCTTTGATGAGGTCATGTCGATCTATGAGAGCATCATGTCACTGGCTGCAGTTCATCAGGCTGGACCAGGCTCAGTGGCCGATCAGCTAATATTAGGCCTACGATTATTCGATGAGCAGAATACCGGCTATATACAAGCGGCCTGGCTTGGACGTATATTGACCAGTTGTGGCGAGCATCTAACCCAGGATGAGATGAAGGAACTCTTGGCCAATCGCGTGAATGATCAGGGATTGGTGAACTATGTCGAGCTTGTGCATGCAATTACAACAACCAATGCCGACAGTAATAACTCATCTTACACACAGCAATAGACAGGATATATATAAGTATAAAAAAAAAACGGATTGTATAATGAATGACATGAAAACTAAACAGCATGACTTTTAAGTGTAATGGATGTTGATGTTTGTTCAAAGAGCCAATTTGATTCTTTGTACCCTTGTGGCAACATACGTTTAAGATATAGTACATAATACATATTGATTTAAGAAAAGCCTAGTAATGCAATCCCGAGATCGTTGATTCCATTCATAATACATGTTTTGATAGCAAGGACAAGCTGATTCGTATCTTCATACATGTTCCAATTCTGCCGACATATACTGATTCAGTTTTGAAGAGGATGAGAGTATGCTGCACATTTCAATGGAAACAAGTCATGTCAAATCGAAATGAAAATTGAGTACAACCATCGAATAAAATTGGCAAGTAATAAATTGATGTCTCGATGTGCAGAAATATTCAACATCGTTGTTTTTCCTATTCCTAGTTAAGAATATTAGTTTAACCTCTTCGGAAATATGTGGCTTCATTTATAACAATTTAAATGCGACAGCCTGGAACTACCAGCTATTGTTCAAAATTTGGTATAAAGGGGTTAACTCGTTTGTACCATTCATAGAGAGCAGCTACAGTTATTTTAAAAATTCCGTGAGTTCTGTATTGTTAGCTTCAACAGGCTTTCCTTGTTGACCAGTTTCGTTGTGCAGCTCCCAGAAGATCGGATAATAAAAGTGGTTTTGAACGTACGCAGATGGAATATATACAAATATCAACAATTATTTAAATTACCTGGGCATAGCTGTTTAAAAAGTAAACAAATTAATTTTTAAGCTTATATATAACCGACTAACACTGTTTTATATTTTAAAATTTTGTTCCATATTTTAAAAGTTATTCATCTATATATAATTCACAAAAATTCAAAACACAAAAATAGTTAGTTGGAAATTTATGTACGTTTGCTTGTACTTGCATACATAATAATGCATTTTACATGTTTTATATTTAATGAAATGATTAATAGCTTACCCCGCTTGTCAGTTTTGGATGACTACCAGGATAAGATACCCAGTAGTTTTACTGCTGAGCCAGTCAGTCTTCATTTATTGTAAATGGGTTTTAACAGACAAGCGCAGGAGCCGAACAGGCGCAGCCACAGTAGCTCGAGCAGTAATCCTTGTTAATAAGTTATTTACATTTCAAATCAATACATTTTGTACCGCAAACAATTTCCAGATTTGGATCATAATAACGTAATAATGAATCACTGCCTTGCAAGCATCAATCATCTGCCCTCCCCTCGACTCGTTACCCACGCGGCCTACTGCAATGCCAACTCTTTTACTTCAATAACAGTGATATTCCCAGGCGGTATATACAGCAACTCCTGCACTCCGATGGCCTTTCATTCTTTAATTCGAAGCTTAGTAGGCTCCTCTGTAACCAAAAGCAGTAATGTACAAAAGCTGGAAAATGAACATGCTCTATGCTGCCCTTCAACAACCCTGGGCGCTGCTACCTTGCCCTCTACATTGCCCTTAAACAGATGACGTCTTCAAGGGGCAATGGCCATTGAAAAAATCGATGCAAAAGGCACGAAGCTTTTATCATCTTTAACTCTTATCGTAAAGTCACAATTAGCAAGCAGGAAAGTCGGCTCCAAATGTTATTTTTCGATCTCAAGTCGATCACTAACGAAGACGAAGCTCCTTCAATAATGGCCGGACGAGCAAATAAAACACCTTCATCGGTCGGTGATGCTATTAGAAAATTGTATATTCTAAATAGGCTTTTAGCATTTAATTTGTACAATGATTTTTGAATGATTAGGAAGACACTCGTTTTGTCGACCATTAATAAATAAAATAAAAATAAAATAAAAAAAATCTTTTAATGTCGTAAGGGGATTTCTGACATGGAATCCTAATACCGCTTTTTGCTCGTCTTCAGTCAACCCTTATCAGCATTTCATTAACCTAAAAAAGAGGAGGTACAGGAATCTAAAACCAAGTTCCAAAGCCTCCAAATCTTAGGCCCAGATAAAATCATGGCTGCAGAAGGCAACCTTCAAAATTTGAACTCAAGCAAATACAATTTTCTGTTAATGAATCTAAGCCAAAATTTATAACAGAAGTAGACTGTAATGTCATGCACAGGAAGGACACAGGGGCCTCAGAAAAAGTCGGTTACTTCGAGTAAAAACGTCAGTTTAGACTAATCAATAACGTGGTTTTAAGCTTTCCAAAGGTTGTTGACTGAATCGTCATAATTCTAGCCAAGATTTGATTATCAGCTAAATTCTTATGATGTTAAGACACCTAACTGATTCACTCAGCGGCAGTTTCTTTATTTACGCTGAAAATACGGCTCCAGAAAGAGTACATGGTCAGCACGATATATAAAAGAATCTTCAAAAGGTTCTCGAAGGCAAGCCTGGATGATAGCACAGTGTACAGTCTAGCAACTGAGGAAAACATAAAAATACACGATCGTACGACTCAGGTAAAGACAGATTTCGCTTCATGAGCTATATATACTTTATATGACGGTCTGATCCCATTTCGACAGGAACAGCATCAATCAGGTTCAAGCCACATTCCATAGCGTTATGAGCATGCAGGCTCTTGGTTCTCACGGACTCGACAACGATTATGTTTCCAAAATTCGTCAATTTTAATAATCTTAGTGGTTGTTTTCTCAGTCAATAGAAGATGGCACTGATCACATTGATCCGAAGGCCAACTGTACGCTTACGCAAGTCGACTCATATTGATCAATCAGCCACAAAGTATTTCAACGAATAAAGGCCAGGCATTATTTCCCATTCAGGGGTTCCATGATTTTATCATCGGTAGCTTGGAGAATTTTCATTGCAATCTGCGTCTTATGCAATGGCTATGCTTCTTTCCTTTGTCCCATTATGTGGGAAATTCATTTTTTAATAACTCCGGTGTGTGTTGTCCAAGCGGTCAGGTCATGAATTTTGTAGTTGAGCAATTTTAACATCTGGTTGCGCTTAAAAATTAAATGTGCTGTCTGCGATTCTGACTTAACAGTCTTGTACCATATCATTAAAATTTGTAAAATGTTCTACACGCAATTTAATTTATGTACTCGATGAGTTTAATTTAATGACCAGCACCCTTTGATAGTACAGTGCTATAATATCTGCAAGAAGTAATTGTAAAGATCAATTGGACAACTGAAAAGAAAAAATACGAGTAATAAAGATTTTGGAGTAAAGTTTGTATCTTACTTACCTGCTAAGTAAATAAGGTATATAAACCAATAAGGAAAAAATGAGCTTATAATAATGCCAGTAAGAAAACACTTTGCCCAGTGCTAGATAAAAAGAAACCAATAAGAACGTTGCTATTGGATAAAGCCAACTGTGCAAAACTCTATTCGCAGTGTAATATTTTGATGACTCGTAGAATGTATTTTTATTTCACTATGCAAAGAGTATAAAAATGTTAGAAATAAACTTTAGCACTTACCCTTAGAACGCCTAGCAGCAGCAGAATACCGCCCAAAACATGCAAAGCTGTCACGGTATAAGAGATGTACAGAAACCAAGCGCCTTTAAGACGGAAGTGCGATTTTTAGTTTTTGTTTTAGATACTTAACCACTTTTAAGATAACTTACTCGCGGTAGCAAAGGTCAAACAAGCAACGGCAATTGCGCTATTAACAATTGTCCAAAGTGAGAAAAAAACGGCTTTTCCTCTAGGCGTACAACAGACGTAGTCCAAACATTCACAACTGTCGCACGTACACATCTTCAATTTAAGTTTTGTGATTTCAATTTAACATTCGAATATTAGTTATAATTTGTATAGATTGATTGTTGTAATAAATATATATCCATATATTACAATTTTACAAATGCTTACTTCAAATTTGTAAGAAGTTGTATGTGTTATGCAAATCTATGTAACAGATAGAATAAAGCAACTCCGACTCCATAAAGTGTATATAATATTTGATCAGAACGAGAAACATATTCTATCTATCATCGTGCGTTTTATTCGTTTGAGGACATTGATCTCGAAAATAACAAAAGTTAGAGACTAGAATCTCAATGTTAGATTCTGGTTCATTAAGCTGATTTGTGATCAATGACGAGAAGCGATCATGAACTTTCATCGAATTTCGGCTTTTAAAGTCCATTCATTGTTGCCATGACCAAGTAGTGCGCTTCTCTGTCATTAAGGGCTTTTTTTTCTTCCTTAAGAAATCTTGATGAAACTCTTAAATTCCATTCAGCTTTGGTTCATCGAATTTTGACATGGGCTACTCCAATTAAAGCACAAATTGCAATGCAATGGGGCAGCATATGGAAATGCTGTCAAAAATATTTTGATAGCTAAAATACACAGTTTGATCTGCTGGCTTTGTAAGATACATTTGTACAAAAGATAGACCAAATATATTTTGTGCCAATTGGAAGATAAATAGAAAACGAGGAAACATGTCGCGCAAACTTAACTCTGAACTAGTTAGTGTAAGCCCCAAAAAGATGATCTTCTACGCGCCCTATGATCGCACTCAGAGACGTTTAATATCCATAATAAATCCCACCGCAAAACGGTTGCTATACAAGATACGCTCAAATGCCCCATGGAAATACAGTGCTAGTCCAAACTGCGGCTTTATTGAGCCCTATGACATCAGCGAAATAAATGTCAGCTTAAATTATTTTGATTTCCATGAAGATCAAGAATACTGTCATCGCTTCTGTGTCCAATGCATTCAATCACCGCCAATGCATCAGCTTCAAAACCAATCGATTCTGTGCATCTTTAAGCAAACAGGTCGCTCAATGATACATAATGTGCGCGTGCCCGTCGAGCTTCAGCCTGAACCCTTACGCATACCTCAGCAGGAACTGGACACCCTATTGCCCTACGATGTTCAAAAGTTGCTGTGGAACCTGCGTCCCCTTGGCAACGATTATATGGATAACTTGAAACAGGTGACTATGCTGAAGAGTCAAAAGAAACGCTGTGGCTGGGCACGCCTCCTGATGACATCGCTCATAATAATATCTGGACTGACGGGGGGTAAGGTCAAACCCAAATGACACTAGCTAAAAAATGACACCTTAAGAATTACATTATGCTAGTTAATAAGAACAAAAATAGCTTGACCATCAGACTTAATTTAAATATTGTAAGAGTTTTAGTAACTAAATTTAAAGCACTCCCTAATCTTCTTAAAACATAAGGTAAATGACTTCTCCAATCCGGCAGCGAGATTCCGGTCAAAAATTGGTACAGTTTAATGTATGGATGTAGTATCGTCCTAGCCGAAAGTCATAGTTGCCAGTACCATTTAAGCAAGTTAGGCTTACAGTTTGTAACGATATTCTATACATTAAATAATTATAATAAAAAGTTTACTTAAGGCTTCAATTTGATCATGGCAAGCTGGCCTTAACTATTTTCTATAAAATTGTATCTTAATAATCTGATTCTTAAGCTATTCTTGTCAGCTAATGTCGTTCGCAATGACCTCTTAAATATTTAGTAATTTACTCTTTTTAGCATATGTGCATCGCCAACAATTTAAGGAAACCTTGCAGTTACATCTAAAAATGAACAATCTGCAGTGTTAGGTGATATTTGGCAATTGACCAAAAGGATTGCCCACGCGGCAGACAGCTATCCGGAGGGTACGTCGGCAGCTACTTACACTTTGATTCACCTTTAAATGTTTACAATATCCCCACTAATAAATCAATAAACAACTATTTCAGCATGTTCAAGCCTTAAACTGTTTATACTGGTTTTTTGCAAATTAACGTAATAAGCAGAAGAGGTATTTCTGAGAATAAGTGTATATGCTTGGTCAGGAAGAATAGTTGAGTTGATATTGCGAAGTCCGTCTGACATATTTAGCTTTCTCGGAAAACTAAAGACTTTAAACAATCAGTGAAGCCCTATATACAATGTAGGTTCTCTCATAGAGTGTACGCAGATCCTGAACAATTTTTTTTTACTTTAAAAAAAAGAAGCATTTATTAAATTATTGTGTTGGGTCTTGGTATTTACACACAATTGGATGTCATATTTATTTTAATTTTAATCTATTATTTTAATGTGATTTTCGATAGTGTTGGGCTATGGCAAGCCGAAGAACCTTGTAGCTCAAACTACGCAGCAAGTAGTATTCGTGCTTATATGCGGATGTATTTATATAAAGAATAAGTGCTGGTAACGACAGCTAGGCCCGGGCTCAGGATATCCCCTGAGCTACTGGTTCTAATTTAGTAAGCATTTAATGTAAAATATTTGCCTAAAATATGTGTTGAAGAGCGACAGGGTCAAGCCAAACCAAAGACACTTTATCAATACGTTGACTAGTCAAGTGGTCAATCAGCTTCCTGTGTGGAAACTATGTTAGCGCGTAGACTGGGTCACCATTTGTTAACTTATTGCTGACTGTGTTAACTAACGGATTGATTAGGCGTCGACTACGGTTCAAATTAAGTGTCGGCCACAAAACAACTAACAGCACAATCCACAACATAATCGCGACCACAGCCACAACCACGACAATAACAAAAATCACATTAACAAACCTAAACATTGATTGCAAATTGCCTGGTTAATCTAGATGTCAATCCCTAATTTTGTTGTTGTCATTTTGGCAAACAGTGCAAATACAATGAAACTATTAGCCAGGAGTAGCTTATATCAATAAGAGTATTTCTCAGTATTGTTGGTAGTATAGCTAAGCAATTTAAATAAGATTTAGCTCATATATAAGCAGCATTGTGAAACTAGTAAATATTAATCCTGAAAAAAATGTTCATACCGGAAATAATTTTAGTAAAACTTATTAATGCGGAGTATGATCAAGTTATCTTGATGAGCAAAAAATTTATTCATTTAAGAATATACAGCTTTATAATATAGAGCTTCGATGTTGATAAGATTTTGCAAATAAGTGGGGAGTATAGAGAAACTGATAAATGTGGAGAATGCTATATGATATGATGTTCAGATCCGGCCGATTTCGACATATGTAAAACTGAGACACTAGTTCGCATAGAAACATAGGCGGACATTGCTTTATCAACTCAGCTACTCATGCTGACAAAAAATAAATCCTACTAATTTGGTCTCTTAAACTGACAAAAACCTTACGTGGCCATAAACTTGTTATGAATAAGTTACATTAAGGGCGGGCACAAAGCAGAAGGCGCCCAGTTTAATTAACGATTAATGGCTGCCATATAGCAAATAAATATATATGCATCACGCTGTCACAGGAACATGGCCTTAAAAAATAGTTCTTATTTAAATCAATCATAGGAAGATGCAAACGAAGATCACAGTACTGGCAATAAGTCGCATATGGGGAAAGCCTAATGGAGCTTTCATGTCTGTGGGGCAGAGTTCGCGCTTGTGTTTATAAATCATTTCAACTTTAGAGCTCCTCCCGAGCTTATCCATTTGCATGCCGTGCTCTTTATCCATTAATCGCTTTTTATGTGTTTCCATTTGCAATTTGCTGGACAGGATAGGGTTGCAGTTCGGCATCCTTTCACTGGTAACCCATTTGTAAGTAAATTTTTTAACACTAGTCCGCATTTCAGACTGTCACCAATACCTATGACTTATTACCGAATGCAGCCTCTCTCTCTCTCCCCTCTTCGTCTGCATTACAAAGAAGTTCAGAGTTCCCGACTAGAGGATACCCTGAACCGTCTTCTACCATTGCCACAAGCAGTTTGCCTAAAAATAAAAATAATATAAAATAGACAAATGCCGACTTTATGGGGATGCTTCTTTCTATAGATATGTATATATTTTACCCATTTTCAATGGGTTCAGGGTATAAAAATAATTACATTTATGACTTAAGCCATTAAGGCCGTTCTATAAACTCCTGGTTTTTATCCTCGAAGATGTCGTCTGAGCTATACAAAAAGGACCCTTGAATTTTGAATTTGTAAGGTTTCGTACAAAAATACGTTGTTTTATGGAAAAAGTTATTTTATTCGAATTTCCCATTATTATTGATCCCATAAGACAGACTAGAAGTCTCTCAGTGAAGACTCTTTGTATAAATAACCTATTTTTGAAGATAACTTAATCAAACTTTAAATTTTTCCTTAGAATGCTTTAATACGAAGCATATATTATAAGCACGAGAAAGGGAAAACAAATGTACCTGCAGATTAATCCAAACGGTTACAAGCAATTAACTCCTGTAGAAAAACAAATACAGGACGTCTTGAACGTGTTGGCAAAGTATTAAATCTGCCTTGAAGAAAAATATTTCTTCTTGATTTTCCTTGGTTTGGGTCCTTTGTTGCCAGGACCTTTCTTGATTTTGCTTCACTCGCAGTAGAACTCGTCAGAAATGTTAACGGCAAAAGTAAACGGAATAACATACCACGCAGCGAAAGTCCTTTGAGCATGTCAAGGTAAGTGAATCGGTGAGCAACTGGGTATGAAGTGAGCTATAAATGGTTACTGCAACTGCCACTTGCGCTTGAAGCAGTCAAAGATACCTTTTGCCACGCAAGTGAAGCCTGTGTTAGCTTATGCAATAGGACAGGAGAAGATTTAAAATAAGACTGAATTAATTTGTATACCACTGCAGAATTTATTATGCCCATGCCCGTGTGCCCGTCTATGCAAACTAGTTGCTTTGTTTTAAAGCTATCGTCAAGAAACTTCTCATAGGCGGCCGCCTTTTTGTTGCTAGCAATATGTAGGTATGTCCAAATCGGCTGGATGGGACTTCTAAATCATATAGTTGCCGTTCGAATAATCAGCCAAAAGATGACAAGAGTTTTGGTTTTTCAATAAATGTTGACCAAAATGTACATTTACAATTTTCAATACTCTCCTTAGATAATGAAGATAACCTGTTTATCACAGGACTATATTAAATAGCGCTATTGGGTTTTTTGGTAGTTATGTTAGTTACGCATTCGACACCTTTTCATATAAAAAGCTAAGGTTGGTGAGAAAGTTGAAGTAATAATCTTGGAGTCAAAACCCCATTAACCCGGAAAACTTTCAACGTATGAGATTTTTATGAAAACATTAAACAGAGTTCTGCACAACTCCGACGGCAACTTTCCTACTTGCTCGGCTTGTAATTTAAATGTCTTTACAAAAAATTTCGCTTCTATGGACAAGTTGTAGCTACTGTTTCCGTTGTTGACTTTATTGTTATGTTTAATGGGTTTATATTAAGCGCAGAGTTTTGGATAAATTATAAAAAGGAGCTGTTCAACTACTATGTTCACCTCAACTTGCCGCTGTAAACAAGGCTGGCTAAAAGGAAAGCGAACCAGAAACTAACAACAAATTGTGGAAAGCATAAAGTGAATGACATTTTAATTTATGCAAGACTGTGTGGTAAAGTCACCTGAGCAAATAACATCGGACAAACATGAATTTGGAATGGGTGTGGATCGGGGTTGTACAACATGACCCAATACGAACACCAAACTAACTTTTACAAAAACACACGGAACAAATTGACCAAGCAATACGGACGATAATAAAGAAGTTATCAATTATTTGATTTTTTCACTTAAACTCTCTTTATTAATTATCACTGCATAACGGATTTTGTGGTTGGTTCTGAAAACCGATCCGATCAAAGTCTGATGCGTTTTGGGCCGAACATCCAAACACAACGCGCCTTTAGGTAAGGCAAGAAGCCATTTGATTTAATTATAAGTTTAGTCAAGGCAAGGAGCCAAACTATTAACAACATGATTTTGCTGATGAGGAGAGAAAACTATGAGCTAAAGTTGCGAATGCTCGTGATGGAGTTTACGAGTGTACCTGCGCTTTCTTATCCATATTTGTGTATAACTATACCAATATCTATCTATAAACTGTCGCTGTTAATGAAAATCAGAATTAAAATTAAATAAAAACATTTAGCACTCACTAACTTAATTAAAGCGTAAACAGCATGATTTAAGTGCCAACGCCATGTAGGAGAATTGATGGCATTTGGAGGTGGGAATTGTAGCAGCGTAAACGGTAGAGAGCAGCTGTGTAATGACACTTTACACCGCAAACAAACGAACCAATGTCCTGACCATGTCCGCTGGCAAAACCATAGTTAGGTACAAGTGTCAATTGGCTTTCAGTTGTTCCTGTACACCTGAGTATGCGGTAGCCAATTGACAACCAGCCCCTCCCCCCAAGTGGGAAAGGGTCACACAGCACAGGGTGATACACTCTGTTAACTTTGTAACTCATGTTGAATAAGTCAGGGACCGCCAAGCCCCAAAGCCACAAGCTGCTCAGCCTGTACTGAGCCAATCACCGCACACCAATTGCTAAGCCCACAATTTGAATGGTTTACTTATTGCCCTGTCGTTATAGTCTCCAACTCAATAAGATATGTACATTTTTGAACCAAGATCAAGATGTCTTGACCAAGCTTGACTCTTGTTAGTTTACTTGTTCCTTACATATGAGCCAAAACTGATCAATATAGTATAGTATAAAATTAAGTTTTGGTACGAATATTTTTTTTAATTATTTGTTCATTTATTTACATTTTGGAACCCATGGCCCGTACGGAAATAATTATAAAATCAAGAGCAAGAGCGGGATGGTACAAAAATTACGTTTCGGGATGGTCGAAAAGGCCCGAATATTTAGTCTGAAGTCAGGACTTCAGTTGTTTGACCACGGTCAAGCATCTTTATACTCCATTCGTACAATATAACTCATTCTATCTGTGGGCACTAGCCAGGCATAAAAAGAAATATGATTACAGCAATA